ATGACATTGCACCAAGATGGCGGAGTGAGGCGACTGCACAATAAATAAATGCTACTATAAATCAAGACTTTAAACATACACTTCCTGGCAGAAAAACCATTATTATGATCAACAACTCGGTTTTTCCTCCAAATAGTAAGGTGGAAAAGGAGGGAATTTTATTTTACTTGGTGGATAATTTCTGATCATCAAGCAGGGTGTGTTACATTTTGATAGCCTGACTAGAAACCCTGATTGTCCTGGGACATCGGGCTAACTATTTTGCAAGCCCTCCCCAGGATGTGATGCCAGTTCATTACATGACACACGCATAGTCACACACCCTAAGGGTACAGTTTTGATGTTGATTCATGATTAATAATCTGACCAGGTTCAGACAATTTCTGTTAGATAATAATTTAAACTTTGATTTTTCCTTCAGAGTGACTAGATCTGAAGGTACATATCATCATGAAGGCGTACTTTACATTGGTGGCATGTGTCCTCCGGGCTGACACCGAACTCCACATGACACTTGCGGAGATCATTACTGACCACCAAAATGCTAACTTTGCTATTATTGACCATACAGTCCATACTTAATTTAAACCAGCAATTCTGAACTTTGGCTCAGAGAAAAGATTTTTTCCCATAAGAAACATCTTAATAAGGCTTGATTAGACTGTTGAAAAACACAATTCTAAATGTCACGTCTGATAAAGGTTATAAGCTAAAGGTCTTTTAACCCTAAAGAGCCCGTCCTTTCAAACAAAATTAAAGAAAGTTTGAAAACATAATTCAGAGTTCAAGATACAAAATAAAATACATTATCACTTATCTAAAAACATTATTTTCAATACCTTGGCTTAAACTAAATATCATTTATGCAAGATACGCATTGAACATTAAATTCTATTTTTGTGTGTATTCTGTAACTTATGTTATTTAAAATGACTTATGAAGCCTGACAAAATGAACGGAATATTTTTATCTGAATCTGTAATGCTGCATGTGTGAGTGACTGGTGTGTGAGTGTGCCCTGCGATGGGCTGACCCCCCGTCCTGGGTTGTTCCTGGCCTCGTGCCCGTAGCTTCCAGGATAGGCTCCAGACCCCCTGTGACCCAGAAGGATAAGCGGTTTGGAAAATGGATGAATGAATCTGTAATGATTCCATCATTGAACAATTTGCAATTTGCCTTTACATATTGATGTATAATTAAAAATACAAATATATTAAAAATAGTACTCATAATACTCTTTTTTCTTATAATACACTATAAGGCACCTTTGTGTCTTGACAAATTGTCACTAAGGCTGTGTCTGAATTCATCAGCTGCACCTTTCGAAGGATGTGGTCTACGAAGGTATACTTTTTGTAGGTTGTGTTTTTCGGAGGTCAAACAGTAAATGTCGTCAAATGGGACGGTCTGGCCTACGGATAATTTCCTATTTGCGTCACCAGCAGTTCCCGCCTTTACCCTTGAGTCACAAAGCGTCATACCTATTGCCTTTCGCCTAGCCGGGACACATCCGCTTTACCTCTGCACAATGAATCTTGGGATATGCTGCTATTGGGTGGATTCTTTGTGACCACATTTGAAGGAGCTTTTGAAATGGGACGGCCTTGTTACACTACTGTGACACATTCAGTCTGTGAATGTAGCCGTAGAAGGATACAGCTCCTGAATTCTTACCCAGCCTTTATAAGGCTTTGAAATGTATTAATATCTGGCCAGTCATCTTCCAACTGCTTATTCTGGTGAGGGTTGTTTGGGAATATATTTCCAGTTTAGTTTTTTTTCTATTTTCTCACATGAGCGGGATCTCCTAGTAAAAACAGGCATAGGAAGCCTTCAAATCTCTTCTAACTATCAAAACTATCAGAAACACTGTTTGAATATTATCACGTCCTCTTCCAAGCATTACGGCATTTACTGTATCAATGCACAGGATATTTTCACAATATGCCAAAAATAAGTCAAGTCCAATCTGATTAAATAAAAGTTCAGGCTTGATTTGATCAGAAGTCTCCAGTTGTCTACTTCAATCTATATCTAAATTTCACGATTTTATGCTCTGCATGGAATTTGAGAAGGTACGGCTGTTGTACGCATCCTTGTATAACTCCCTTATCACTCTCAATCCAGTAATTTCATATTCCATGTGATTGTAGCTTCTTGTCCAGTGCAGAGATTCTTCATAGAGGACAAGATGCTCTGGTACACCCATTTCCCTAAGAACATTCCATAGTTTTACATGATCAAAACAACTGAGGGCTCTGTTGCAATCAATAAGACACACATTGACCTCTTTCTGGTATTTCATGGTTTTTTCAATTATTCAGCATCTATTGGCAATGATGTCTGTTATTCCTCAGCCTTTCTTGAATCCAACATCTATATCAATCAATTCTTTTCTTGGTTGGGCTATAATATGTGCTGAATGATCTTATAATAATCTTGCTGACATGTGGTATGAGGGAAACTGAATGATGGTCTTTAAACCAATCACTTTTGTAGGCTATTGGGTCCATTTCCAGATTTGTTGGCATAACTGGGTCAGTGCCTTGATTGATTTTTCAGCTGCTTGTGATATTTCTACAGGGGTTCCATCTATCCCATGGCTTTCATTGAGTTCTTGGTGACGAATGTCATGTAGGTCCATCTCAAAACGTTTTTGATGTTTCCCTTGAAAGCAATGGGTATATTCTCAAGTCATTTCTTGAAAGTTGAACAGCCCTTGTTGTAGCCTTGAGTATTACCTTAAATTTATAAATTATAAACTGTCCATTTTGTATGTCCCTATAAATAAATGACCGACCAAATAAATGATCTGGTTCATTTGTGATCCTGTTCAAATCAATAGCTAATTAGCCTCATTGAATGTAATCCAGTTCAGCTGAACAATTAAATACAGAGTGTTTTATCCAAAACCAGGACCAAACAGCTGGTGTAAATAAAACAAATGGGGCTTTACTGAACAATACAAAAGTATGGAAACAAACAGGACCGCGAGGGTCAGAATGGGAAGACTAACACAGGAAGGGCACAGGCAACAGGAGGTCCAACGTTAATGACCAAATTGTGGAACAAAGGACTGGGAAACACATATAAACGGAACTAACGAGGGACTAATACAATTCAGGTGTTGATGTTTACCATATTAGGATCTGGGATTACGAACAGGACACAGCTGGGAAGAAAACAGGAGGGTTCTGGAGGACCAGCAGTGACCGCTGCTAGTCATACGGGGGAGGGGGGGGGACTGGATGGGTCATGACACATAGTGTAGGCACTGTCCAGTAGTAATTAAATCATTTATCACATGCAATTACTGTGCAGGCAAGTGTGACTCTGGTTTGTTCCCTATGCAACGATTGGATGTAGTATGAACTTGACATGGCTGGCCCCCATCTTGATAAGGAGAGAAATGAGGCCAAGAGGGCCATCTCTCCTGGGGAGGGAGTGAGGCAGGGCCTGGAGAGCGTGAGGCAGGGGTAGGACATCAGGATGTTATGTTTTGTGCCTATATATATATATATATATATATATATATATATATGTTTTGGTATTTTGGACTCGTTTTTCTGTCTCATATTTCCTCCCTGCTAAAGATCTCTCCTCCAATTTTATTTAAACAGTATATTATTAAGAGCTACAAAGAAATACATTATTTTAAAATAATAATAATGATTAAAAAACTGATTCTCCTGGGATTGTACACACACCCCTCCAAAAAGTTTGTCCATATTCAGGGCTTAATCAAGCATAATTAAAAGAACAAGACTAAACATAACAAAGACACTAGTTTTCTATACATCATGTAAAAGATAAGAATGTTTTTTTTTTTTAATGAAAACTGAGTTTAGGATTAAAAATATGTTAGAAATCCCAGAGAGGGGTCTAACCTACTACTTACATTAAAATATAAACATTAAGATTGCTAAATTCTCCCCCTGGTATCAAAAGAGTTTATGTTACCTTAAATCACTGTTCACTTGAGCAACATATAATATAATATATAACTAAACTGAAAATATTAAGTACGTACAGTACAGAAGGATGATACATACTAGGTAAATATTTGCATTTCATTAATTACAATTATATTCATTAATTACAAGTATAACTGAGGATATTTAATTAATGGCACACCTGGAGACCACAGACAAACACAACATGTGCACTTCTGAAGCACATCTGATGTTTAGAATATAGAACAGAATAGAATATATCTTTATTGTCAATGTGGATACAACGAAATTTGAATGCCCAACTTCCAGTGCAACTGTTGCAAACAATTACAGAACCAGTTTTATTGTAGTACAGTTTTGTTGCATGTAGGCCTGCATATGCATGAAGGAAACACACTATATGGCACAAGATTATACTATTTTATATGCCGAATTAATTAGTAAAATATAATTTCTCAGTTTAACTCAATTCACCTTTCTTATTCGGTATGTTTACTGAGGAAGCTGGCTAGACCATTGACAGCGTAAACCAATAAATGAGACAAGAAATGCGATATAAAAATAGATTCTATGGATTAAGCACAATACTGATGTCAATTATACACATGCATTTTCGGGCGCGCACACACACACAGACGTACGCGCGCTCACATACACACACACGCACACTTATTCACAGTTCCTGTTTTCTCCTGCGCTAGGCAGTGACTCAGATAATATAGGATATACAGTATTAGTTTTCTCACTCGTTGCTTCTACGCTACTTCTTGTATAACATTCAAAAACCATCACAATTATAAGATAATTTCGCGTGCCTTAAAAGTATTTCGTGGTGTAAAACCGCAAAAAATAAGCATTATTGTGAATCTTAGGTGTATTAAAGTTTACGTTGAAGTTTCAGCAAATTTATATTCGACAAAAGTTCACAGTATTAGTTTACAGTAGCCTATTAGTTCTTCGTAAATCTGGCATTCAGGAAATCAGTACTGAATCGTATTTTACGTCAAAAAGAAAACGTCATACTGAAAATGAAGACGGAGAACTTACCTAACAGGGTTTTCAGTGGACAGATCACAGGTATTCCTTAAGCGGTGCCATGACCAGCGTCTCGGAGTTAAATTCAGATTGATTGATGGAAGATGCAGATTTTCCCCACGAGTACAAACTCGGGGGACGATTCCTGAATGAAGACGTGTATCGGTACAACGTCCGGTGACGATTCTTTAGATACTCCCGGTAGTTCTTAGTGAGCAGAGTATAGAGGAAGGGGTTGATGCAGCTGTTGCTGTAAGTAAGACAGGCCACCAAGTAATTAATGCAGGTGTGAGTGTGAGAAGCCAGTGTTAGGGGTTTGTGGTATAAAGGTAAAAGCTGCCAGATCCAAAATGGTAAAAAGCATGCCCAGAAAACCAGCACTATTGTAAAGATCATAATAAGGACTTTCTGTTTTGGAGAACGTTTATTCCCCTTACTGACAGAGTTTCTCTGAGACTCTACGTAAGTACGAGCTAATCTGGTGTAAAGGTACCCGATGACTATTCCAGGTGCCATAATACTGGTGCTGAAAAGGATAGTTAGGTAAATCTTGTACGCTTCTGGGCCCCACGTGGGCGCACACATCCGCTTCACTCCACCTGGCGCATGTTTTGTGGTCTGGTTGACCATGATCATCATGGGGAATGTAAGAATTAAAGACAAAATCCACACGCCACTTGCTATAGCTTTCCGGTAGTTCTTGGAGCGCTTAACAGTATCCAGGGGTTTGGTCACGGCCAGGTAGCGCTCGGTGCACATGACCGTCAGTGTGAAGATGCTCGCATGCATGGTCAGGAGGTCTAGACTCAGCAGAATGCGGCAGCCCACATCTCCGAAGTACCAGTCCTTGAGGAAGTAGGTGCATACCACAAAGGGGATTGTGGAAAGGTAAAGCAGGTCTGCCAGTGCAAGGTTAATGATAGAAATATACATGGGAGTCGCGAAGCGGATAGAATGACACATCACCATAAGTGTGTATACGTTCCCCGACACTCCAACAATATACACCAGCGACAGCAAAGTCCCGAAAGTCGAGGTGATGACCAGTTCGTCCATGGAACCGGAGCCGATGTTGGGAGGAGGGCTGATGCTAAAGTTCCCAGACTTGCTGTAATTCATTGTTCTGTTGTATTTATTTAGCGCCTCTGTATTTGCGTCGCTTGTTTACACGGTCGCGATGTGCTGGACGCGCAACAGCAAGCTGCGTTAAAGCCGGATACAAGTGATAGCGCCGTGCGTTCCGCAGCACCTGACGTCACCCACAGAACTCTTCATCACTTGCTACGTACAAAAATATCACTGTTTCAGGATAAACATTTGCACATTTTTTGTCCCCCAGAAAGTACTTACTGAATCTTGGTGACGCTTCCGCTCCTTATGCCGTCACGTGTACATGCAAACAAAAAAATATAGCTGTCAAACGAAGTGATCGGCTTGCGAGTGTGTTGATATATGACTGCATCGGGGAGAGAAGACACAGAGTGAACAAAAGAGAGAGAGAAATTTAAGGGAGACGACCGGGAAAATGTGTGCATTTTCTCTGAAATTCGTCAAAAGATAAATTCGTTCGCATCCATTAAAACGGTATATAGCCTTAAAATACATGCATTTTTAATGGAGTTACTGAGTAGCTTGCTCTATATCTCTACTTCGAAGAATGCAGGACAACTTAACTTTCAATGTCATTTACTGATAATGTCTATTTCTCAGCGAACTGTGGATTTCTTCCTGTGTGGAGCGATGTATTCCCTAGCGAGTTTGATACTTTGGTCACTGAGAACGTCAGTTTTGCCTGAAATCATATAGCATATAAAGGTAAATGCATCTTTCATTATTAAATGACAGCCTTGTCCATAATAATACATGCAGGTTTCACAAACAAACGTCACAGCTCTTCGCAATCTTTTGCGCTCAAGTTTACGTCGACGTGGCCGGGATTTACACATTATATATCCACATAAGCTACCGTCGATCTTTTTCAAAACGACTAAACAGCTGAACGTCTGCTAAAATGTCATCATTTTTATAATAATAAAAATTAACGTAACAACCCGTTTCACATCTATTTGTAGATCGCTCTCTGAACGTCGTTGACAACTGTCATTATACCAGTTAATATAGAATATTTATTTAATTAAATAGCTTTTATTTTAATGTTAGTTTAATGTTTTGGTTTTGCAAGAACAATAAGAGAGGTAATTAAATCTTGTTGCTTAGACGCTATTTCAATAAAGGACCTACACAATGAGCAACTATTTGATTTTATTGAAGAACTCTTACATAAATCGGTCAGCGTAACCGAGTGCCCATTGACCATACACACCCCATGTAATTCCTGTATGACATAGGTACAATACAGCAAGTTAATTTTGCTCTGCTCAAATATTGAGAATGAAGAGTGTATAGCTTGAAATTCTGCACTCCCTGATAAAATGTCACCTTGGTCCCCCCCGGCAAAATGATTTTACGTATTCAAGGGCCCCTGTCAAGTGCTGGGCCCCCTGAATCTGTCAGGATATCCATGCCCCTCCGACGCCCCTGTTAAGAACAGTTTAACTAGGCTTTAATGTGGAGCGTCTGCACGCTTCGTAGATTTTCACTTTAATTACTCCAGTAATGTGATACGCTTTCCTAAAGTTATTTAATTGACTATTAAGAGGGGTTACACCAGGTCTCGTAAATATGTGCGGGAATGCAGGAGTAGTCCGGGGCTTCATCCAGATTAGTTGTGATATATTTGGTGCATTGCTATACTGTGTAGCAAAACAAAAAGTGGTATACACCGTTTCATATTCACTTGGATTATCTTTCTCTGATTGCCAGTGTTTTTCTGCAGTCTTACCTGATCAGTCCAAGCTCAGCAGTATAGGTTTTACACATTTATGTAATTGTATCCTGTTTAAGATGGCGAGACCAAATCACATCTGACGGTGTCCTTTATGTTCTTTCGGTTACTAACAAAGGCCAGGAGACCAGTCTCCACCATCTAGTATATGGCAACCTATGTTATGTTTTTAGTTATTGTGAGTTTGGAACTGATTAAATTAATATGAAACCAGATACCAAAGTATGTGAATGTATACAGTAATTATAGGCTCTGTCCCCCCCCTCTAATTATTCAGTTTTGAATTGTCCCTCTCCCGTTGTTTCAAGTCACTATAATTTGTATAATGGCGAGGGCAACCATTACAGGTCTCAACAAATTTATGATTATCTCCGTGGGACAGTAAAATGATCCTTTAATTAAATAATGTCAATGCTGTTATGTTTAACCAGCTTTTTAGTTTTTTCCCCTGAGCATTTATATATTTGCAGACTAGAAAAACCATTTTTGACATGCTTATCACCAGGTGAAAACGATACCTTTCCTGTTATGAATTTATATTTCAAAGGAATGAATCATAAAATGAACTGCACTTGGAAAAGGTGTATAAACTGCATGGGTGATCTGAGAGTGCAACTTGCCTGGTGTAGAATTAACGGACTGATGTGAGGTCATATCCTGTGATATTCGATGCCTTATATACGATACTGGACGCGCAACAGCAAGCTGCGTCTTGTGTTCTTATGTTCTCTCCAGCTTCCTCTTCATCTGTGTGTTTGTCTTTCAGTTTAAGTACTTTTGTGATTCTGTTTAACTCTGTACTTTTTCACCCATCTGAGGAAGTACAGTTTGTAGTGAGCTACATGTTCAACAATTAATTAGAGTCTGCTGTATAGAGAAGTGCTCATGAACCTTTTTACATAGGTAACTTATAAAAAATAAAAATATCTGTTTAAAATTTTAAGCAGGATATTATAAGGTCATTGGAAATCAGGAATTAATTTGCTCTGGTAATTACAATAAGTAAAAAATTATTAGAACAACCAGTTAATGCAATTTAGTACAACAATTGCTGGTGATGGACAAATTAATTCTACTTAAGTGACATACAAAGTATCGATGCAGAAAGGTTATTAACGCGTGGTATTTGAAATCCATGACTCAATTAAATCAAGTCTGACTGCCTTGCATTTCAATGACTCTTTTATTATTAGGGAATTGTGCTTTAATGTCTTGAATGTGATTCCATTTTAAGGCACTTTAACACTGTGTTCCCAGCAGATGTCACTGTACAGCGATGGAGGAAGTGAGTAGAGCGGAGGCAGAATGCACAGGGGATGCACAGATGGATTGCGTTATCTGCGTTGTTCCCTCCGAAGGCCGCTCAGACCGGTTATTTTGACCGGTGTGTTAATGGCGAGGCTGGTAGCTCTGCGTTATCCTGTGATTTATTTGTACTCCTGAGATAATTTCAGAACACCTGTTATACAGGGTGAAGACGAGGTTCAATGAACGCTGCTGCGTTCTACGTACACTGCTGAGCTGTGTGTGAAACTGTACCTTCACAGAGTTAGGAACAGACAAAACAGTGCAATATAAGTGCAATATAAATGCCTTTGTTGTTAGAGTAGTTTAGGTTAATTAAGTTGTGGATCTCTCCGAATAACGATGCACAATGTATAAATAGTAAAAAGGGAACATTTTGATTATATTATTATGGAAATAAATTATATTAACAAAGATCAATAGTTTTTTTTTAATGTTGCCTTGCAGTTGAGGACATAAAACACAGTGTTAATGAGAATGTGTGGCCAAATACAAACAAAAAGAAGATAAAGCATATTAAACTTTTTACTTGATTTGTGCATGCATATATACAGTATTTGCACGGTTGTTTATTTGAATAAACCAGACGTGCTAGCCTTCGCTGCCCACGTTCATCAATGAGCCTTGGGCACCCAATGCCCATGTCGCCGGTTAACCTGTTGGCTTTCCTTGGACAGCTCCTACATTTTAAACGGTATAGATACAAGAAAATTTTGTCATTATCTTAGAAAAATTTAGTTACACATTTTTATATGTGAATTGAACTATTACCCACTTCTGCATTTGAACTTTCTTGCGCTACAAAAGATCGGCGTTTCCCAAAAGCGTCATAATGCAGCCAGGGAGCGCTTCCTTTATTAGTGTTAATGAGCCTTCCCTGCCACCCTACATTTGGGAAATTTCCCACTAGCGCGGCCACTTCGTGCGTTTTCCTGCAGCATGAGAGCGCGAAACCCAGAAGTAGGAGTGCCTTTAAGGAGGATCTTGGCCCCAGAAATCGATTATATAAATCGATTCTAACAACGTGAATTGCCACCTTAATAACGGATTCATCATAATGCATCTTTACACCCTTAGTGGATATAGAGTCCAGCTAATGATTTGAGTGGTTTCATTTGTTTCATTGATAATTTTGAACAAAAAGGAAACTTGTGCAAAATAAATATATGCCAGATTTTATTAGGATTGAACAGATCCTGAAAAACGTGCTACGGAATTTTATGTTTTGTTTGCTTTTAAGTAGTGTTTCTCAAACCCGCCCTTGAGGACCCCAGATGGCCCCCATTTTTGCTCTTTCCAATTCCATGGGAGATGGGAGAGAGTGAAAATGTGGACAGTTTGGGGGTCTCGGAGAACTCATTTGAGACACACTGCTGCAGAGTGGTAATTGCAGCACCCTTGACTTGTCTGGGATTGCATTGCCTCATCTCCATATCTTATAAATGCCACAGTAAAATATTAACATTACAGATACAATATGCCACAACAAAGGAATTCCCAGCAGATGTTCATTATAGGAAAACTTTATGGAAACCACCAATGTGTAAGACAGAAATTCCACATTATCAGGAGCCGCTGCCAGCGTTGATGTTGCCACAAGTCGGTAATAACAGGCAGGTTTCAGTCAGCCTCCAGTTTTGCTCATCTCTGCTTCACTCCTTCTCCCATCCAGGCAGATTTCCCTGTTGGTTACCGCTAGGCTGTGTTTAAGTATACAGCTATATTCTGATCTCCTATTGCAGCACTCTGGCAGAGAGTAAGACAAATGCACTTCTACTGCAGTGTCACTACATGACCACAGAGGGGGCCAGTGGAACAGTCTTGCTCATTATGCCCTTTTTGCTCCCCTCACCGTATCCATAACTGGCTTCTAAAACAGGGCCCTGACATTAATGTCATATAGGAGCAACTTGCAGCATAATGGTGAGATGCGTGTTTTTGTGCTGCATTTGTTACAAAAGTACATCCA